AAATTGGAAAAGCTGCAGTGTCCAGTCGTACTGTGAGGGCACTGCCAGACTGGGCCTGGGGAAATTGCTTGGGAGAACCTTTCCCTCCTGCCTTCATCTCAGAAAGCGGACCTACAACAGGTACACTTGGTTATGGATAAGAAGAGGAAATGGTGGCCCGATGGCACAGGCAACAGTAGGGTCCTTGTCCTGGCCTTCCCCAGTTGGCCCAATGGAGATGGCCCCCGGTGGTCTCCGCTTATCAATGGCCCCACGCCCAGCCATGGCCAGAGAACTAGAGGGTTCCTCCCAGGTGGCTGGCTGACTTGTCACAGAATGGGAGTAGGGCTGCATGCACCCAGGGTCAGCACTGAGTCCCCATGGGGAAGTCTTTTTGGGGGGGAGGTTTCCCACAGTCCAAGAGCAAACCCATCACTGGGGCCACTGTGACACAGCATTCTCTCGATACCCAGAGCCTTGAGGTGTCTGGGTACTCTGTGTCACTGTTCAGCTGTTCGTGCTGGCCGCCTAAGGCTGCTTTCCTGGGCTCATCCCCTTCTCCACCCCTCCAATGTGCCTGTTCCCCTCCATCTGCTCTTCCGGGCAAGCTCCCCCACTCTGGAGGCGCTGGCTGAGTGCACACATCCGGCTCCCTCTTGCCCAGAGCCCAGAACCCTGGGCCCATCTGCCTCTCAGGCCTTTCCACCCAGAAGACCCACAGGCACCCCAGCCTCAGCATGGACGACCCACCCCCCTCCTATTCCCTGCCTCTGAGAGTGGTATCACCACCACCCCAGCTCCCGAGCTAGAATTAGGAGTCATCCAACGCCCAGTCATCCTCGACACCTCCCCCTCACCCCCACATGCAATTGGTCATCAACTCCGTGGATGTCATCTTCAGAAAGGCTCCTTGGCACACTCTTGTTCCTGCTCCCACGGGCAGCATCAGAAGGCAGGACCTAAGAACTTTCTGGTTCCAACAGCTGCTGCTCTGGGAGGCTCCCCAGCCCCCTCACACGCTCTCCTCCCATCCCCCCACCCTGCCATGGCCAGAGGGGCCTTTCTGAAACCTGGGTGTGCCATCCCTGCTCACAATCCTTCCATGGCTCCCTAATTCTTTTAGATAATGGCTGACACGCACCTCCAGGTAGTCTAAGATGTCTTGCCTGTCCTAGACTGACATCCGTGTGTCCCCTATGACTACCACTGCCCTTCATTGCACAGCACATGCCGACTGGCCAGCTGGTTTCTTCCCCCTTAATCTAGCAAGTATTGCCTGCCTTCTCTCATCCAAATCCTCCATTCTCTTCCTGGCCCACCTCCTCTGAGAAGCCTCCCCTTCCTTGTTCCTCCATCAGTACGCGGCAACCCCAAGGTCCTCCCCAGTTTCCATGGTACTTTGCTTGTCTCTCAGGAATCCATCTGCTTACACTTTCTGACTCCTCCCCTAGACTTCCAGCTTCTCCAGGGCAGTGGGCTGGCCCTGTCCGTCACTGTTCACCCAGCCTGAGTGTGTGGAGTCGGCTAGTGCGAACGTATACACACACAGAATGAAAATGAGCAGGGATAGCAGCTCTGTCCCCAAGACCCTAATCTAAGAGTGCCTGGGCCACCTCCCCCTGGAGGCTTTGCACTGCCTGCCGCTCCTCCCCCCCCCCACACACACTTATTTCCATTCTACCTGCTGCCCTGAGCTTGGTGGGGGCCCACGGGAGCCTGGGTGCCACGATGGAGAGGCCTCCGTCTTGTGTGTGCGTGCGTGTGTGGGGTGCTGTGTTCTGTGGGAAGTGGACCCTGCGGGCCACGGCCCTGGGCCTCGGTCCTCCACCTCAGCGGTGAGCAGCCTCTAGGATTTTAATGTGGGCCTCGGTGCTTCAGGGAAAGCTGCATGGGGAGCTGCTAATAATGGCACTAAAATAAAATATGCTACATCTGTTATGGGTAGCGGAACAAAATTAGCTGCTCACACCTCTGACATCCAAGATGTCTTAACTTAAAATACTCCTTGGCTTACTTTACATCGTTTACTGATTATATTTAAAAGAAATACAATTTTGCAATTACTGTTCTTTCCAGTGTGGTATCTATGCATCATTTTCCTTTTATGTTTATATATTTCTCCTTCATTAGTGCAGTCTGAAGGGTGATTAGGATTCTTCAAACATTTTACAGAGGTTAAACGTTGATTAAGATTTAATTATTACTGTAAATAGCTTGGAATGACATATGGTGCCAAAGCCTGACATATGTGCATTTGAATAAATGAAGTGCTATTTCCCAGGATGCCTCGGTAGCTGTTTAACAGCTTTCCCGAAGGGTTATGTTACACCTCATGGTAAGATTGCTGGGATGTTATATTTTGTTGGTTTTTGCAGCTGAAAGCTAAGAACAGTTTTCCAGTTTTTTAAAAACATTGAATATTTTAAATACCTAAATTGTTTTGCACAAATTTTTGCTAATTTGTCTAACTAGGTTAAACATTTTCAAAAGCATTTAGATTTTTCAGCGTGGGCGCTGTGCATTGTGTCAGTGGTAGCATAGGGACGAGGGGAGCTGGTAGGGTGGAGGGGACTCCGGGGTGGAGGGGCGGGGCAGGAGAAGGCGGTTTCGGGGGAGGGGTCCTGGGTCCTGAGCCTAGCTCTTGTCTGTTTGGACATCTCAAGTAGCCAGAGTGTTAAGAGTATGGAGGAGGACGGGGGTAGGCGCCCCTTCTCCAGGGTCCCATCCATGCCCGCCGGTTCGAATCCTGACCAAGCTCCCTCTTGCCTGGACCTTGACCTATATACCCTGTCTTGAATGAGCTCCCTGAAATGTCCCTTGTTGGTGCTATCCTCTAAGGCCTCCATGACTTCACATGTAGCGTGTACCCAGGGTCACGTTCAGTTGAGCTACAACATAAAGACCCGGTAGTTCTGTGATCTTGCCTGGGTCACATGCCAAGCTTGGGGGTAGGCAGTTACCACCAAGGTGCAGCTCCCTGGCCCCTCACTGGTCCAGCTCATGCCGTCCCTTCTGGCGCAACCTGGAGCTGAAGGCCAACATCTGGGCTGCTGAGGTTTGCAGAAGGGCCTAGTCTCTGGTGCTTGCCGCTCATTTTCTTTCTACCCGTTAATTCAACCAGAGAGACTCTAGCACTGTGCTAGGCCTTAATGTCTCAGAGTGAACAAGATTCACAGGTATGCCTCGGGAGGGTTCTTGTTATCTGACTAGGAGAGGTAGAGGGTGAGTGAGCTGTCAGCCACACAATGCTGTGATATCACTTGGCTGTAAGAATCCCGGGGGTCTTGAACCAGAAAGGTTGTCCTACCCAGTGTAGATGAGCAATGATCCACAGCTGGGCCTACAAAGGAGACAGAGAAAAATAGGGTTGGGGGTGAGGATTGACAACAGGGCAACCCAGGCAGGTTTGGGGTGAGGCAGGGATAGAGCAGTTTGTCTAATGCACCCAAAGAAGCACACATGTCCTGTGTCTTCAAGATAATAGGGAGCATAGCAATGGGGCTTGAGGGCATGGGTTCAAGCCTCTGAACCAATCTTTAGTGAGGATAGGGGCGATTGGACCAGAGATTCAGAAGACAGTGGGCTGAAATGGATGAATCTGTAAGGAGGGTAGGGGAGGACAGGGGAGGACAGGGGAGAGGAACGGACGGAAGGGGAGGGGAGGGGCAGCCATTTGATAAGGGTATTATTGCCCATAACATGGAGCTGGGGTTGGGGCAGAGAGAAATAGCAGATGCCGTCCCATTTCAGAACAGTTGAGTTTATGTACCCATAAAGCATCTGTTATCGTTGACTAGCCAGCAGTCAGCTGCTGGACACCCCGCAGACATGACAGCCACTAGGGGCCCGGCCAGGCCAAGCCCCAAAGACTCCAGCAAGTGTCCAACAGGTGTTGTGGAATGAGTGTACCAGTGACCTTGCAGAGAGAGGTTTTAGTAGATAATGGGGACAGGAACCAGATTTGCTGTGGGCTGAAGGCAGTGGGAGGTAGACAGGTGGATTTGACCAGAATGGACAATTTAAAGAAACATGGTTGCTGGGGAGAAGAAATACGGGGCCACAGGCAAGCCTGCCACAGTGCAAAAGGAGTTTCCTGAGAGGCAAGGTTCTTATGGCAGGTGGGGGCAGGTGGGGGCAGGTGGGGCAGGTGGGGCGGAGCCAGGAGCAGCAAAGTTGAGAGAGAAGGACATCTAGGAGAAGGCTGTGCAGAGGCAGAGAGTGGAGCTAGGTGGGTCTCTGTCTTCTGAGTGGGAGGGGCCGAGTGTGAAGCCTGGTAGGCTGTGGATTTGATTAGGGGAGTCTGAGAGCCGCTCCCCACTAGAGCCACGAAGTACGCAGGCTTGGCAGCTCAGGAGCGGGGAGCTGTGGGTCGAGCCGCTGAGGTGACCTAGGAGACTGAGTGTGGTGGCCTCTGTAGAGGATGGGAGTGGACTTGACTAGGCGGTGGGCTAGTCACGAGGGTCGGACTGAAGTCAGGGATTTTGAGGATCTCTGCAGTGGTCAAGTTGAAAGATGGATGCATGGGCAGACCTCTAAAGCGGAGCCTCTGCCAATCAGGCTACAAGGATCCTTAAGTCTGAGAAGGAGCTGAAGTAATGGTCCCTGAGATCTGAGGTGGTGCGTGCGTGCGTGCGTGCGTGCGCGCGCGCGCGCGCGCGCGTGTGTGTGTGTGTGTGTGTAAACAGAGAAGGGGTATCTGAGACCCGCAGTATTACTGCTCCAGGAGAACAGTGACTAGGGTACTGCAAAGGGGGAGCCTTGGGTGGGCAGTGGGCCGGCAATATGGGGAACAAGGGCATTTGCAATGAGGGAAACCCAGAATCTAGACAAGAAAGAGGCTAGCCCTGAGCCGGAAGGGCAATGTAAGAAGAAACACGCATACCCTTTCACTAGGACATGTGGGCACTGGCGGGGGGGGGGGGACATGCACGGGGCAGCACTGTGGGCACCAGGGAAGTCCTTAGACCACGCATCTCTTCCTGGCCCTCCCCACCTCTGCACTCTTCTCTTTCTCTCCCCAGATTGAAACCTCCCAGTTGGAGCCTGAGATAGCCCGTGCTACAAGCAGCCGGACAGTGGTGTACAATAAGGGGCTGTGAGTGAAGATGAGCCGGCCTGGAAACACGGCACTATCCAGGCCGGGTGTTTGGGGTGGGGAAGGAGTCTCATGAGCTGTGTCTGCAGGGAGGGACTGCCTGGGGAGCAGTCAACCTCCAGCAGTAGGGAGACTAACCATTCACATTTTAACATAGGGGAGAGGAATTCTGACACATTTCCTACACAAAAGGAATCAAGTGCGCCTTTGGGCCTTACATGGGGTCGTCTAAACGCCACTCAGCACAATTCCCTGCGAGCTGAAGAACTGTCGAGTTCTCCTGGAGTAGAATTAGGATCCTTTTATATGTTGCTTTTTTTTTTTAATTTTTTTTTTATTAGAAGCAAGTCTGAGCCTTGGTTGCAGTTGACCAGAAGCAGCAGGTGAACAGGTGGAGGAAAACAGAGGAGCCTGGAACTGGGTTGGATAATGGACGGAAAATATAATGGCTAGGCCCACTGGGCCCCTCAGTTAGGGAAGGGAAAGGAGAGGAGGTAGTCTGCACCCCACAGGACGAACTAGCCATAATCAGGTTCTCGGGAATTGGCTGTCATGCTCAAGGCACACTAGAGATCTCTGGAAGGTTCTGGGAGCAGCAGGCTCTGAATGTCTACACCACAGTGGAGTGAAAATCGGTGATCCAGGCATGGGTCATCTTTCATGGAGCTCTTATGGATTCCAGGCCCCTGAGAGCCCTCCAGCTTTAATGGGGAGCCCCACGAAGGAACATTGTTTTATATGAACAAGAAGAGGAGCCTGGCTAGGCTCTCTGGGGGAAGGTCTTTTCTAAGAGTAGCTGGAGTTTTATAATGGAGCAAAGGTGGGCTGAGCCCACTGCTGTCCAGTGTGTAGCCACTGCACTGTTTGTCATATCCCACAACTTCCTGCACAGGGGTGTCCCCTGCTTGAGGGTACAAGGCCAGATCCCTGGCAACTGCCTGAGAGGTGGCATCATCCTCGCTCTGACACTGGCTGGCTGTGCGGCAGTGGACAAGCCACCCACATCTCTGGGCCTCCATCCCTTGCCTGGAAACAAATGACTGGATGGGGGTTCCCACCAGGCCTTTGACTCCTCTCTGCCTGATTCGCTCAGATGCTGCACGTTCCAAGCATATCCTCTAAGGTGGATTCTGGTCTGGAAAAGGCATCAGGCCCCTCTGCAAATGGCCAGCACTTGGCCTCAAAAAAGGACCTTGCCATCCCCACATCCTGGAAGACCAAACACTTGTGCCAAACACTTCATGGGCTGTGGAGGAGGTAGTATGGATGCCTAAGACAAACATGGGGTGTCACTCCACAAGCCAGCTCTCACTGCTACAGACTGGGAGGCCTCTTTGCTGTTGGCTCTTGACTCTGTCTCATTTGTAGGCCTTAGAGGAAGAGGTGGGTCTACCTAGGGAGGCAGGGTCTGAGTGGGAATGAGTAGGGTGACTCCTGGTCTAAAAGATTCCCAGAAAGGAGATACGCTGGTCTTCATCTAGCCCTCATCTGACCCCACTAGAATGGGAGCTCTGGCTTGTGACCCTGAAACCTCCCCCTGGTGACTCAGGAGGGATCAGGCTGAAGGTAGACATGTATGCTGGCAGTTATAGGCTGGCACAGGGCAGCAAGGACAAGGCCACAGGTTGCCTGCCAGAATCTTAAGGTGGAAGTAGCTGAAGTGGGGTAGATCTGCCATGGGCATTGGCACCATGGTCTCCAGGCCTTAACTGGGGACTAGGTCTGTCCGGAGCCTCTTTTGAAAACTTCACTCCCAGCTCACCCTGCCCTCACTTGTCATGGAGCCTTGTCCTTGTGATCTTGGGACCAAAAAACCACCCTCACCCAGCTCTGCCTGCTCACTCCAGAGTCCCACAGACTAGGACTCTCTTCCAGCTCTCCCTGTGTGCTGGCTGTCACTGTACTGTTTCAGCATCCCTCGTCGGTTTGTTTTGTGTGGGGGTGATTTCTCCCACGCTCCTAAACACTGGCCCAGGTGAGCTGAGGGGGCAGCTCCTTCGGCTTTGCGGTGGCAAAGGGTCCTTCAGGGTGATGGAGACTGAGAGTCTTGAGCCATGCTGCTAAACCCTGTTCTGGCTTCATAAAATCCATGAGGGAAGCTTTCTGTGAATGTAAATGCAAATGCCCCTATTTGCTGAGGCTAAAGGAAACAGGCCTGGGGGGGGGGGTGGGCACAGAGAACTCTCATTGGATCTAGTTTTGGCAACAGTCGGGGTATATCCATATCAGGCTCTCTCTAGCCCTAACATTCCTGGTCACCTCTCCTTTGGTTACTTTAAACATTCCCTAAGGCTCCAAGGATGCTGTTCCATCTCTGGAAAGCAATTTGAGAGAGTAGGGACCAAAAGTCCAAGATGCTAAGATGGCCACCAAATCAGGGTGTCTGCACACTCTGTCTCACTTCCTGATTGTGAACGGCTTCTGTCTGAAGCCTCTGGCCCAGGATGGTGGGGGTGGGGTGGGTGGAGGAGAAGACGAGCCCATGAGGGTGGCAGGTCCATGGTGGGCTCCCAGCCTTGGGCAGGTATGAGCCAGGCCCCAACATACCCAGGGACTTCAGACTGTCTTTTTAACCTCAGAAAATTTCTCAGTTTATGTGATATATGCCATACTAATGAGCTGTGGGCAATAAACATGGATTTAAAACACATGGCTGTGGCTTTGTAAATTACAGGATGGTGAGCCGGGAGAATGAAGGAACACAGAGGGGCAGGTTAAGGCAGCCTGGGGACTTTGTGGGAATGCTCCCGAGGGAAGGCCCAGGCCCAGGGTTCAGGACAGGAAGCTGGGAAAGAAAGCCGGTTGAAGCCACAGCAGAGGACCAGCTTGGATGGCTCAGCAAGGGAAAGCGACGGCCACGCAAGCCTGAGCGGCTGAGCTTAGTCCCTGGAACCCATGGAGGGGGAAAACTGACTGATACATGTGCACCGTAGCGTGAAGAGACCCCAGCCCCCCCCCCCCCACATACATACAAAGAAAAAAGAATCACAGTGGCTGAATGGCTGCTGGAGAGACTTACCTTAAGGAGCCACAACACATTGGGATTTCCATATATTCTTGTGCTGTGCGGACCAGGGACTGGGGAGTGAAGCAAAGGGGTCACCCTGGCCTGCCTGTGGCCTGGAGACCTATGAGGGGCCTGCACCAAGTGCAGGGACGAAGTTTCCAGTGTGTTTGGCTTCAGCCCTGCAACTCTGCCCTGCCTCCAACTCCCTCATCGTCCCTCACATGTTGGCTAGTTCTGTGTCAACTTGACACAGCCATATTACTGAGAGGAAGAGACCCTCAGTTGAGAAAATGTCGACATAAGATCAGGTCGTAGGGCATTTTCCTAGTTGGTGATTGGTGCAGGAGGGCTCACTCATTATGGGGGCTGCCACCTCTGGCCTGGTGGTACCGGGTGCAGTCTGAGCAAGCCATGGGGGACAAGGTGGTAAGCAGCATCCCTCCATAATGTCTGCATCAGCTCCTGCCTCCTTACAGTTTGAGTTCCCGCCCTGGCTTCCTTCGGTGATGAACCTGTGAAGAGTAAGTGGATAAATCCTCTCCTCCCAGTTTGCTTCTGGCCATGGTTTCATTGCATCGATAGTGACCTAATTATGACTCCCCAGGACCAGGGCTATCACCCTAACTCTCCCAAGCTGCCCCCTAGAAGTCTCTAGGGGTGGGGTGGGGGCTGCTCTCTTCTCTGGGACCACTGAGCATCTTCCAGCCCTAGAGAAGGAAGCTGAGGTGGGTAGAAAGCATGGAGTAGCGTGGACGGTGGCTGTTGTAGGCACTTCTTGTGTGTATGTACATGTTTGTGAGTATTCGTGTCCACATCTGTGTGCACATGTGTACAGAGACCAGAAGTCGTTCCTCAGGAGCCATCCTTCATTTTGAGGTCTCTCTCTGGCCTGAGACTCACCAAGTTACCTAGACTGACCAATGAGAACCCCAGGATCTGCCTACCTCTACTTTCCCGCTGCTGGGTTTCATCATCATCGTCATCTTCATCATATATAGGGTCTCTCTACATAGCCCTGACTGTCCTAGAATTCATACAGATTAGGCTGGCCTCAAACTCATAGAGACCCACCTGCCTGTGCCTGAGATTAAAGGCATACACCACCACACCCAGCCCCTTGGCTTTGTGAAACTGGGTTTCGTCACTTTTCCAACTGAACCATCTACCCAGCCTCCAGTAGTTTCTTCTGAATGGAGACTTGGTGTACTTATCTACCAAATGGCAAAGGACAGGGCCATGCACTGGCATATTGGAAGAGTAGAGAGGCCGGTGGGGGAATGCCTCCTAATTATCCTGGGTATATGTAGGAAGCCTGGGCTCTGGGCCTCACTGGAAGGGTGAAGAGGAAAGAGGCAAGAGGGAGAAGATGGGGTCTCCATTCAAAGTGATACCTGAGGTCAGAAGGCCACTGGTCTCTGGGGGATTTCTTTGCTAAGAGGCTCAGAGGCCACACAGCCCCCATCAGTGCGGAAATCCTTGACTCTCAGGACGTACACAAATCCCTCCTGGGAACTGTTTGTTGTTTTTAGCTAGGCTGGGGACTCAGCTCCTGCCCAGCTCTGAGATCATTAACACTTGAAGAATGCAGCCTCTCCTTCCCTGCATCCCCGTGGACTGGCCGGGATCTAGGCTCCTTCCTCCCACTCACAGACTAGAAGAGTCAGGATGCTGGGGGAGGGGCGGGTGTGGGAACAGTGATGAGTGACCCTTTCCTGAGACCTGAGGAGCCTGGCTTTATATTCAGAACGGGCCTCCTTCAGCACCTCCTGTCCCCACCCCCAGCTACCAGTTAAGCCCTCAAATGGGAATTTCTCATCTGCTTCTCTGAAGTCTTTTTTTTTTTTTTCTACCATTAGTACCACATATCTCTAATGTTGACCAAAAACTGTCCCCCCACACCCACACCTCCAGGCAACTGCTGTCAGCTTTTCCTAAGGTCAGAGGCTGCCTCTTCATTCAGTACAAAATCCAGGGCCCCACTGCAAAGCTCTGAGAGAGGTAGAAAGATGGGGAAAGACCCAAGGGAGAAGAGGAGACAA